GATTCTCAGATGAACTGGAACATTTCTAGATCCCGTATAACAATTGCTCCAGGTTCACCATACAGAAAATCTAGCCGAATTGATAGTGTTTACTAAGTGAGAAGTGCTCAAAGACTGAAAGGTCAAAAAATCTCTCATTGCTGGATTTCTACTTCACGACTGAGTGCTCTGTTCGCGGAAACACAGCAGAAAACCCGAAATCACCATAATGTTTCTTACCTGCGTGCTACCATGCGTGCCATCCTTTTTCATCTGGGGAGCTGTGAACGCAGTAGATGAAAGATCTCAACCCCAAGCTAGTTTTGTTTTGTAGAGAAGTGCAGAGCACTTTGTTGAGTTTAGCTTCTTTAATAGCCTAATAGTAATTTTTAATATCACGTTGTCCTGGATAGCTTGATTTTGATCCCTTTCGTTTGCGAGCATTAGCTGAATTGTATGAAGGGTCCTGACAGCATCTTGAGATAAATTCTCGCCTATAGTAACTTCTTTAGAATGTTCCCTACTATGAAAACATGGTGTTCAGACAGGAACATTGATAAGAAAGCGCTATTTTCTATATTTAGAGAACTGGAGAGGTGCGGCTGCACCCAAAGTGCACGCGACAGGTGTTGTCTTCTTTGTTCTCGTTCTCGTTCGGCGCAAATGTTATACTGGTGCTCAGAGAGTCAAATTACTTCTGGGGACAATTTCCTAGCCAAAACTAGATTTTAAGCACGACACTGAGAATATGGGGATTGAGCCATAGGTAATGTAGTATCCTTCACACACCGGTCTGAGACGAGCTTATTGCACTGAACTGGTGATAGGTATGGATTTACACAAGGACTTCAAACTGACAGAAGAAGTTCTTTGACAATTAGGGAAGGATGACGAGCTCTATGCCAGCCACGCACTACTTCCTGCAGTGGGCGGTCATAGCCTACGCCAGGCAGCCATAGATTACTGCTACCAGTGCTCCGGTAGTGTGACTTGTAGCACAGTTGACCAGTATACAAGACATGCGGGTTCAAGTCCCATCTGGAGCGAAAGCTTTCAAAAGCGGAAGCGCCAAATTATTGCAAGCTACTGAGAAATCAGGTCCCATTGGAAGTCGAACATCGAGACCTTTTCAGATAAGCTCATACTATCGCTTAGCCAGAGCCATGAACGTTCACGCGCCCACCCCTCTCAATGAACTACCATTCCCTTATCAGTGCATGCCATGGGCGTCAGTGTATTCATGCAACTCTTCGCGTTGTTTACAAGGTGTTATCAAGGAGAATCGTTCGGTGTGCTCGTGCTTACCAGGAAGGTCTTTCAAGTCATGTCCTGCTCTTCAAAACTGTTTGCGTAATATAAGGGCACATGATGAGACACAAAATTGAGGTTCTTTCTGCTGAGCGGTCAAGGCATCATTAATAGCAGCGGGTATCATTGGGATTACCATTTAAGCACTAATTGAAAATGCAAAACTCACCACCGCGGAGAATCGAGCTATGAACCAATCTTCGTTCTTTATTCGCGTTCAGAGGGTCGCTTAGGAAAAATGAACGTAGACAATCTAGCCACGACACGGGAGTTTCGGCCCCCACCCTGACTCCCGAGCACCAAGCCTCCACGCTCCAACCGTTTTTCCACGTTTGGTAATGACGAGAATGCTACTAATCAACAAACACTGAACTTTCTCTTCAAGTGAAGAGTAGCTTCCGATTGACCAGTGTTTACGTTCAAGCGAGGTAACACAAAATACTCTATGTAAGTCATGCATTGTAACTTATCGACAATGGATTTGATAACCGATATTCGATGAGAAGGAATCAGAGAATTTTCGATGGCAGCCGATCCTATCGAAGCACGTGGGTCAAAAAGATCGAGCATCGGAAAACATCGTGGGCCCTGCCGGACGACGGAAGAGCGGAAGGGATCGCCCACTCGGGCCTCTACCTGGACCAAAAATGAATGTTTCTGGAAGCGCGTGTCATTTTGTCGCCCAAGGATTTGGCGTTTTTTTACATGATGACATGTTTGAACTACTAGTGACATCATGTTGTACTTGCAGTGCGGTATTTTCTAATCAGGGGAGGTGGTCACGATAGAAATTAACTGGGTTGAAAGAAGTATCAAGCCCTGGCATGGAGCCAACAATGGCTAGCAAACACGAAAAACTTGCTTGGACATGCCTTTCTCCCAAGCCAGCCTCCTTAGCTCCAATGGAGAAAAGGATTTTTCAAGCTTGTCACAGCCTCTTCCCATGTTTCTTCACTGGTGTTCCATTTGGAATCTCTGGACTCACTTTCAAGCACGAAAATACCCCAGCCCGATCCCGACGAGTACCTTTGAGTGGCTGCACTTGCAACTGTCGCTAGTTTTCATCAGTTCCAATTGACCCCACGTTCAATGAGATTCGCTACAACAGATCATTCAATAGTTCATTTCAGTCATGCTACTCATTGAGCTACAGCAGCTTTCAATAGTACCCGCATTTACAATATCACTTCTGATAGAAACTCTGATATAAACAACTGATAACATATCACAAATGAACCGATGCATGGAATGAGTTTTTTAGGCAATGATCTAGCGATAATTTTAGCTCTCTTGTGGAAGCGTCTATTCATTTTCAGGACGGAAAGCTTCCTCGGCTTTACTGATAGTCTTCGATTGGTGGGCAAGTACAAACGAGATTTCTGTCGCCGTACTGGTCGTCAACTCGACCAACCGTGGGCCACGTCTTGTGATGACACCATGGCTTCGGGAATGCCGCCATCTCCCTCGAATACGGTAGATCCCAATCGTTGGAGACCACTTTGGCCAAGGTGTGTGGAGCCATCTGAAACATGGCTGTTGAAAAAAAAGTAACTTGAAGCAATGGAGTCAGGTCAGTTGATTATTAGTATGCAAATGATGTGAAATCGATGCCAAGAGTTGAAAAATTCAAAAAAATAGTGAGATATGGCGTTTTATGAGTAACCGATTCGGTAGATTTGCTTTTGAGTGCTTCTGAGAAAGCACTCAAATCAGACTCAAGGACCGGGACCTGTGAAGCGGAAGAGTGCACAAAAATCCGATGAGAGATTACCTTGAGCGGGTTCTTCAGCCTGTCCATCTCTCCCCTTTCGATCATCGCAATCTCTTCACGAATCGACAACAGAGCATCCACTAGTCGATCCATTTCTCCTAGGAATTTTTTCGATAGCAAAATATTTCTCGAAGGTTTCAGTCACTCCAAATCACATTTCAGGGCGACATAAATACTCGAAACTGTCGCTTTAGCGACAATCCAGAAGCACCAACATAATTGCAAAGATTAGTTATCAGGTAACTTTGGACCATTTCTTTACCACTATTCTGATATTCCCAGAAGCGCTCAAGAAAAATGACCACGTTTTTGAATTCCTCGCATGAGTCTCCACAGCATACAGGGAACCATTTCGAGAAAGCGCTTCATGTCCTGAAACCCCCGCTCTCCCTCACCCGCCCCGTTAGACTAACGCTGTTTTTGTCTGCAAGGTAAGTTTTACCATGGTCGTCTTCCGCTTGTGATTATGTATGTCGGCCATAATCACGCTTTGTTGCTTCTGAATGGGAGATGAATTCCTAGCGCATGATCCTAATGTTGTCTCTTATCATGTTAAGGCAGTGATCAGGATGGCCAGAGGGCGTTGCGGTTTTGGTGACGTCATTGAACATCATGGATGGGAGGACGTTAAGAGGAGCTCCCCACCACACACCCCAGCGCGCTGAGACGGCTAGTCCGTCAACGAAGTTCAGCGACGTCATCGAAAACGCTTTGCCCTCTAGCTATTGCGATACTGCGCCTAATCTTTTATTCTACCATCTTTTCCGAATGCTAGAGGGATAATACCAATCAGACTAGCAATACGTATTATCATGCTCAGCTATAAGTATTAAGCCGTAGGGAAAGTCTTTGCGGTTTTCAAAAGTTCTCATTTTTTACCTGCTGAACGCCTTCCAGCAACTTGGCTTGTGCGTATACATATAAGGAGAACAAGTAAGTGCAAGACTAGCATTACTAACCGCCTTAAACTCTAGCTTATCGTATTTTTGCGATATGCAACTTTTGCAACAGTACTTTCATAGCATTTCACCATACATTTTCATATTTGGCGAATCAACCACCTAATTCAGACGTCGATCAATTCAATTTATGCTCCATGTGGAGGACGTAAGTTATCCAGGCACTGCGCGAGGTAGGTCTAAGCGCTTTCGCGAGGGAGCTCTAACCTTTAAATCGAGACGTCGGCAATGATCGTTGCGCCAGATGGTGTCGGCAGACCCACACCGAACCACGCGTGAGCTCGCACGAGTTCAGGTATTCCCTTCAGCACCATCGCCGGTCACCTACATCATTTAGGGAAGGTGGACAACTGGGTACATAGCGCGCACGCGGCTTGACCGAATGCTGGGGTCCATCGACACAGAGGATGAGAGGTCGGGTCTGTTGGTCTCTTCAAGCCCCGCCGATATTGAGTTGAAAAGGGTACCCAGCTTGAAAGTCAACTCTCTGAAGATTATGATCTATTTTCCGTGAGACTCTTAAGGCAGTATCTATTACGAGCCACTGCCGCGCGCGCTACTTTCGCGGTGGACTTGTGCTGCCAGAAGCCGGATAGGTTGGTCCTCAAGTTCGAAAAGAAGCATCGGAATTTGGGAACGATCGCATTCCTGCAGGGCTATGTTCGTCCACGCGCTAGAACAGTGCCCGACAGAATCAACTCGACTTTGGATGGGAAGTGCTGCCCCATCCACCGTACAGCCAGGATACAGTTCCAATACAGTAACACTTTTCCCGTCGCTATCGAATGTATGCAAGAAAAACGTTTGAAGAGGAAGACGCATAGGCCGCCAGTTGAGTAACTTTTTCGAGTCGAACTCGGGACAGTTCTCACTGGAGGCAAACGG